AAATGCAGATGCCAAAATTTTTGGGCTACATCTTTCAATACTACATCCAATCCAATGTTAAAATACCCATAAAAACGATTTTTTGAGGGCGAAGTGGAATAAAGAAATTTAATCGATCTTCTATTTCCCATATCACTTGTGTAATTATACTATGGAAACCTCTAGAATATTTTGATTAAGTTTACAACTTAAAAAGTTTTTAACTAAAATTTTTTGTTAATATGTTGTTAACTACTTGCTTGCCCCACTTCACCCCATGATTGTCTCTTTTTAGCACGGTTCCTCGAAAATCAAAATATATACTTTATAATAACCTACTTTCAATTGACGGTGATGGAATCAAGCTCAAAATTTATTTGTTAAAAATTGTTTGGCGCAGTGAATACATATAAAAAAGATATATTTTTTCTGGAAATATTTTTTAATATCTCTCTTCAACATCTCAATTATAATATAAATTTACGATTTCAAATTACTTTCGTTTATAAAAACAAAATTCAAATTTTTGTGAGGACCCAACCTGCAATACCAAATGATAATATTGGTACCAAACGATACGAACATAACCGATACTTTTAATACCAGTTTCGCGTGATATCGAAACCGATGTTATAAGGTATCGCGCAGATACCAGAGGATAAACCAAGATTCGATACCAATTATCTTTGTGTTCAAATTTTTATTATTTTAGTGAAACAAAATATATTATTTTCTTTTAAATTTTTCTATTGTTTCTACAACTATCATTGTTTTTGTTTTTAATTTGCTTTTGTTGTTTCTGCAATAAACAGTTTAATTTGAGTTTCAGAGCGGTTTAGACTTGTTGGTGATATTATAAGTGAAGCAAAGAATATATATATATATATATATATATATATATATATATATATATATATATATATATATATATATATATATATATATATATATATATATATATATATATATATATATATATATATATATATATATATATATATATATATATACATATATATATATATATATATATATATATATATATATATATATATATATATATATATATATATATATATATATATATATATATATATATATATATATATATATATATATATATATATATATATATATATATACAGTGTTTCAGTAAAATTTAGAACCGCTTACATTATTTTTCAATACTCGACAAAAAAAACTTGAATAGAAATTAAACGGAATAAGATTTTTAAATTATTTTTTTTTTATTTTATTAAATAAGGTATGTTTTATAATTTAAGTAAAAAAAATCGCAAAAAAATGTAAAAATTTAAAAAAAAAATGAAAGAAAACAAGTAGACATAAAAAATAAGAGTAGCAAAAAAAAATCAGTTAAATATAGCACATTTCAAAAATATTCAAATTTCAATATTTAAAATGACCACCGCGGTCTTTTATACATGAAAGAACTTTTTTAGGCATAGACTCAATCAATTTCATGCAGAACTCTTTTGGAATACTTTTCCATGTCTCTTCTATCGCTATCTTTAAGTGCTCAACCGACGTCAGCTTGGTGCGCATTAATTGGCGGTCCATCCAAGCCCAAAGATTCTCAATCGGATTCAAATCAGGCGATCGGGCGGGCCAGGGTATTACTTGGATCTTCTTCTCTGAAAACCAGGCTCGCTGAAAAATCCATTTGCGTCTTCCGAAAAATTCACGAGCTGATGGAATTAAGTGCTGCTCCAGAGTTGTTTTCTAGTTTTATTGATTGATCCGACCGGTGTACGTATTGCAGAGACCAATACCTTTATAAGTGATGCAACCCCAGACTCCTGTCGACTCTCCTCCGCCTTGTATTCTTGGTGATACCATGCTCATGTCATACTTCTGCCATTTCTTTCTTTTGACATAAACTCGTCCTTTGCGATTTATGACCTCGAAATTAGATTCATCACTAAAAATACACTTTGCCCAATCTTCTACTGACCAACTGGCATGTTCTCGGCACCATTTCAATTGTCTCAACCGGTCTCGTACTGTTAAAAGTGGCTTCCTAGCAGCAATGTACGAAATGATTCTTTTTTCCTTTAAAACCTTTCTTGCCGTTTCATAGCTAACACTATGATTTCTGAACGAGCTATTGAAATCCTCGGCTAATTCTCGGAGAGTAATTTTAGGTTCGGCATTAACCTTTCATATGAAGAAGTCTCGGGTAGTAAGCTTTTCTGGTCTTCCAGAGCGCGGCATATCTTTAACACTCTTTCTCAATTTTTAGTTTTTTATCGTTGTTGAGACACATTTTCGTGCACATTTTCGTACACACCCAACTCTTTTGCTATTTGTGTGTCAGATTTATCTGTACTTTGTTTTAATGCAACAATCTACCATCTAGTTGCATCATCTACTGCTTTTTTACCCATTTTTTTACCAAAAATGTCTGGAAGTACTAACTATCTTAACTTTAATTTCTAACTTTAATTTTTTGAAATTTTTTTTTTAAAATTTCAAAAAATTTCAAATTCAAAAATTAACAACTTTTTATGGTATGTGATTTCAAAGTCATGTGCTAAATTTAATAGATAATTTATATCAACTTAGAAAATTACCTCTAATTACTTAGTCTTTATTTAAATCCAATTAGCAATTTTTTTATTTCAATTAAAATCATATCTGATAAACAATTAATTTATCTACTCGATTTAGAGAAAATAATTGAAAAATCTTAATCCGTTTAATTTCGTTTCAAGTTTTATATATATATATATATATATATATATGTATATATATATATATATATATATATATATATATATATATATATATATATATATATATATATATATATATATATATATATATATATATATATATATATATATATATATATATATATATATATATATATATATATATATATATATATATATATATATATATATATATATGTGTATACATAAATTACAATAATTAAATTGGTTTAAAAAAAAATTGATTCTTCAGGATAAGTGCAGCAGAAAAAGAGACCTATCTAAAAGCAATGTTCGACAATAAAGATGATTCTGATTCAAACGGGCTGCCTGATAGTGATAGTGAAGATCACAATTCATTTTAAACTTTTAATCGTCTTGCTTTTAATCGTGAGGGCACTGATGTTGTAAAATTTTCAACTTTTCTCACTTAAACTAAATTTAAATTTAAGCACAGATTTTGAGTTTTGTAGAAAATTTTTGTAAATTAAAAAGGTTATAATCATGCAAAATTTACAGCCCCTTTATTTTTGGGGTTGTCAATTTTAACATACTTAAGTTTGGAGTTTGAACAATGCGTGAAAGTGTTCTATCTGAAACATCAGAAAATCCTGCGGGCGCTCATGCATGCAACTTTTTTACTCCTAAAATTCTAGACCAGTGGTTTAGCGTACAAAACGGGAACTAAAAATATCTCGAGATTGTGTCATATATGTTATAAATAATTCGGTCAATGGGCTTGCATCTTAGACCATAAACAATGGCCAGAAAATATTAACGCTCAAGTGACATTTGAAGAAATGGAATAAGAAATCTGTCATTAAGAATACAATTAAATGAAAGAAAAATGATTCGTGGATTCCGTGAATACCTTGTAAAAAAAACGTCCTGAAAGTTTAGTTCATTCGGAACATACTATCTCCATTTCCTCAAGTGAATGCAAACATGGATTTTCACAGATGAAATTGATCATCACACCAACAAGGGCTTCATTAATGACCAAAACAATTTCAACGTTGTTATTCTATAAATTAAAGGGACCACTGTTAATAAGCTTTGATCCTTTAAAATAAGTTGAATCGTGGTTACTAGCGGAAGCCATTCAGCTGTAGACACTAAGAGCAAGAAAAAGAATACAAGATAATTTGTCCAACAAAAATTGTAAAAAACTCTGGGATTTGTTATAGAAGTTTATAATTTTGTATTGTTTTATCTTATAAACAGTGCCGTGACACCTCAGCTTACTCACCCTTCCCAAAAAAACACCTGTCATTATTTGAAAAAATAAAAAAGCTCTTACATTAGGAAACTGCTTCTTTTATTTGTTCCCGCCTTATTGGGTATGATGTGTGGGGAACCGACTAACAGCTATACATTTACATAAAATTTATTTTCAAATTGAGTTTCTAATTTCTGCTTCATTTATGACATATAAAAAAATATACAAGTGAGTTCCCGGACCTTTTTTTGTATAAGAAATGCACTGTATACATACTTAGTTTAATTTCAAATATATATTTACTTATTATTAGTTACACATTTATTATATCATATATGTATTTGTTTATATAAAATGGTATTACAAGCTTACCTATCCAGCTTGTTTCCAGTCTTCCCATAAGAGGTATATTTACGGTTGGGGTTTTCATTATAGTAACATCACTTGACAAAAGTTTTAATGAGTAGTATAGCTAAATCAGAAAATAAACTGAATAAGCATAAAAAATGAATTTTTTTTTTTTATATTTTTTTTTTTACGGCCATAAAATTTTTAAAAAGATTGTTCATAATTAATTATCATTGTCAACAAATTCAATTAAAAAAAAAAAAATTGTTGGGTACGGGATTGAGCTTGGTAAAAGTAACTTGATATATTTGCCAACATGTTTACCGGTAAGTTATTACTGTTGCAACCAATCTATCCAAGGATCAAGCTTGCAGGTATGGTCAATATAATGCTCCATAATATGGTTAATCGCGGTTTTAATAATTTACTAGTAAATATATTAATTTATCAGACAAAACTTTTAATACTTTCGAATAAAATTTAAAAAATTTAATTTCAAATCTTGAGTTATTAAAACTAAAATACTTTCAAACAATGAAATCAGTAATCACAGGAATAAAAAAATCAAGAATAAAAAACCTTTATTCCCGACTGAAATTGAAATCGCAGCTGCTGAAGCTCAGGCTGAATTGCGGGTAATTGTTTTGTAAAATTACTCTGAAGCAGCTGTATGATACTCGATAATTGACCTTTATCCACAATTTTAATATAATCGTTTGATCCTAAAATAAATGTGTGATAAAAACATTAAACCATTAAAAATATTTATAATAATACTTTATATTAGCGACATTAAACAATAACGACAACAAAATATTTGGAGTAAATCAGCTAGCAACAAGCTGACGACACCTAGCTGACAACAACTAGTTAACGAGATCTAGCTGATGACAACTAGCTGACGACAACTAGCTGACGACAACTAACTGACGACAACTAGCTGACAACAACTAGATGACGACAACTAGCTGAAGACAACAAGCTACATAAACTTATGACTAGTTAGCAAATACTCATAACTATAAACACACTAAAAGTTGCTAGCGACATTTTGTTAGTTATAAATTAACAAAATTAGTTAAAAATGGATATAAATCTTACCACAGGTATTACGGATTTTATGGCACTTAACATTCTATTTTAAACAGTTTAAAATACTGATATATATATAAAGTTTTGTCAGTTAACTCGAAATCGCATATATATATATATATATATATATATATATATATATATATATATATATATATATATATATATATATATATATATATATGCGACTCGAAATCGCATATATATATATATATATATATATATATATATATGCGATTTCGAGTTAACTGACAAAACTTTATATATATATCAGTATTTTAAACTGTTTAAATAAAAAATAAGTCTTCATAAAAAACATAGAAACTTAAAAATTAGGACAAAAAGCATTTCTAGATTAATTTATCTTAAGTTAACATTTTTAATAAACTTTTTGTAATTTTTATTTAATTTTTTTTTTACCTATCTTTATACAAAGACTTTTATAAATGATCAATAGATACTTTCTTAAAATTTTTTAAATGTGACTATGCCATTTTTTCCCCTGGACTCTTCATATATATATATCTATCTCTCTCTCTCTCTCTCTCTCTCTCTCTATATATATATATATATATATATATATATATATATATATATATATATATATATATATATATATATATATATATATATATATATATAAAGAGAGAGAGAGATTTTATGATGTCCTGGATAGATAATTTTTGAATGCCCCATTTGTTTTAATCAAATTCTGAAATATATTTTATGCTTCATAAAATTTTCTAAAATAAATTAATTAGATTTAGGTACTTTTCCTTTTTTTACCTACTTTTTGATTTTTCTTAATCGTGATACATCAATAGATTTAAAATGTGTAAATTATAAAAAACAGATTTTTATCTCTGACAAGAGCTCCAAAGAGAACTAAAACCAAATCTCTAAAGAAAATCGAATACAATTTTTTTTTTAATTAAAAAAAAAAAGATTCATTACTTTTTTAAATCTTTTATAATAAACTCAATATTCGATTTTTCGAATATTGAACTTATTATAAAAGAATTTATTATTGAACTTAAGTGCGCTTTCTTGTCTTTTGTCTTTTGTCTTTTGAATTTTTCTGTTTTTTTCTCGGACTATACAAGCGGAGTACAAGCATACGAACATAAAATAAATGTACATAAAATATAGACACCATTTTGCTTTAGGAATTAGGAAATCAAGAAAGACATCAAGTTTTAGTGACCGATTAAAAAGTTTTAGTGATCAATTAAAAAAAATAGAGCACTAGTTCAAAGCAAGTTTTTAAAGAAAAAAATTGCTAAAACTATCGAGTTTTTTTTATTTCAAAGCTTATGAACTTTGTTTTTTAAATAAAGATGTTTACTTTTGTAAAAATATTTTGTATACTGAGCCTAGAACTCAGTGTTTGGTGATGCTTGGTGAGTCGATGGTATAAGTTATTCAACCTTAATATTTCATGACGTAAAACGTTATAAAATTTGTAAGTGTGTAATATATTCAAATAATAATATACTAACAACACTTATAATAATAACAATAAAATTGATAGTAATATTAGTAGTAATAATAAATAATAATAGCAATAATATTAATGATAATAATAAAAATAATAGCAATATGTTATAATACTATTCTTACAATTTTTAAAATCAGAGTTTCAAAACAATATGTGCAGAATAATATTGTACTTAATAAGATTCGTAATTACCTAAGCATTGTTAAGAGAGGCGTTGCAATGAAAAAATCTTATTATGATATTATCAGAAGTTTATTTAGATAAGTATATTTGCAAAAACATTAAAATGAGGTTATGTTTAACTATGGGCGCGTCTATCTGGCTCTATGAGCGCATCCAGAATGTTTTGATATTTGAGTTTAGTAAATTCTTGGAAATTTCTAAACTCAATAATCAAACAAACTTTTATATGCTTATACTAATGCCATAAAAGATTGATTGTCAAAACTGCGCTGATGAGAGCCTGGAAACAAAAATACCCTAAAAATTAGGCATCGCCCGCCAAAATGTGGGATGCTGTTTTTTCCAAACAATATAGTTCTTTTTTTAAATAAGACTTCAGTTTTAATAAATATATTTAAAGTTTCATTAAAAAGTTTAGTTATTAAAATTTTAACAGTTAAAGTTAAAATTTACAACCTCCTCAAAACGAGTAGGATCCAAACATAATTTTCTTTTAGTGGAAGATGTTGGGGCACCATGATGCATGTGGCACCATAACATATAGGGAAGTATGAGAAATTGTAATTGTGGAGGCATCTTATAAGTTGCGACAACCATAATCATATGGTGAAACAGTTTCTACTAGTGAAAAAAAAATAATTATATCAATTGACATCATTAGGCTTGCAAGGTGTCGAAGTTTTTGTTTTATTGATGACTAAGTAATTTATGAGTTTTTAAAGTTTATAATTTATAAGGTACCTTTTTCAATGTGTCTAAATGGTATTTAACACCATTCAATGGGCTTTTTACTACATTACATAAAATCATCGAAAAAACAAGTTAATACTATTAATAAAGCAATTATTTTCTATAAGCAAGTATGGGATAACTTGATACAGTATTTGTGGAGTAGAGTTGGGGGCCATAAAACTGTAGAATAGTGCTCCATTGTGTCATAAAGAATTCTAAAAATCATTTCTTTTAATATTTACATCCAATTTTCAAAAGGTTTATGTAAATTTAATACCAGGAGAAAAAGCTATTATATAATGACGATTAAGAATGAGATTTAAAGCGTTTATTTGGTCTTCTAAAATGTGATTTGGACCATTTAATGCATTATTTAGGTTATAATTATTATATTGTTTGTATTAATGATGCCCATATTGTGTATCAAGGTACCGCATGGGTGGGGGTACCTTGAAATTTTATTGTAAATTTACTTTAACTAGTTTCACAAGTTTAACCTGTTGTACTTTGGTAATTTAAAAACTGATGTTGTAGGTATAAAGTTGTTCTGCAATTTAAACCATTTGCTTAAAAAAAAGTTTTAAAAATATTGTTAAAGCAAAGTGCACCACCTTTCCCTAAAAAATATATCCTTAAATAAATTTTCATCTAGTTTAATATATTATAATTTAAAAGTAATGATTTTTCCCACATGTTAACCGGTAATGCCTAATTTTTGGGGTAATTTTGTTATATCCTTGAATAAATTTTCATCTAGTTTATTAAATTATAATTTAAAAGTAATGATTTTTTCCACATTTTGACTAGTGATGCCTAACTTAAACATTCTTATATGGCTTAAATATAAACATGAAAAATTTTTGTAAGTATTTTGGAGTTTATAACTTTTGAAAGTTAAAAACTCCAAAAATACTAACAAAAATTTTTCATGTTCATACTTAAGCCATATAAGACGGTTTTTCTAAAAATTGCGTTAGTTAGAGATTGGAAACAAAGTTACCCCAAAAATTAGGCATCACCGGTCAAAATGTGGAAAAAATCATTACTTTTAAATTATAATTTATTAAACTAGATGAAAATTTATTCAAGGATTTAACTTCTAGCTATTATAGAAAGTTTTTCAAGTAATAGAAAGCTTTCATAGAAAGTTTTGTAAGTATTTTTGGAGTTTATAACTTTCATAGAAGTTACTAAACTCACATATTCTATATCTATAGACAATATCATAATATATGATTTTTAAATGACAAAGCTTCAACAAAGTGGCTGTTAATCCAAGCTGACATTGCTGACAGTGTTTGGCTTTAAAAATTGAGCATGAAGGAGGTTTCTGTTTTGATTATTGTGTTTTGGGTGGATATGGTAATCAAATTGTTGGATTTTTTAAGAGCTTGATTCCTGTAAATATTATGTACAGTTTTCTAAATAAATACTATGCCTTATGCCATTTTTACAAATGTAAATAGAATTAGTAAATCTTATTTATTAAGTAGTTGATTTTCGAAAAACCCTATTAATAAGATCTGGTCTTGAAAATAATTTTTTTAGTCATCTTTACATTACATAAATAATTGGGTAAAAACACTTGTTTCAACATTAATCACGTTGTGTGGTTAATTAATTTAAGATTTTTTGATTCATGTTTACTGTGTGGTTTTCTTTTTTGATATTCTTTATGTATGTGTGTGTGTTTGTGTATTTTTGTGTGTGCAAATTGTGTGTTCAGTCACATTATATTTTTCAATAGTGCCCTATTTCAATAGTGCCTACAATCAATAGTGCCCTGCCTGGCGCCCAGCTGTAGCGGACACTTTTTTGAGAATATTCATGATCATAATGAATATTCTGAAAAAAGAATGATTATAAATATATTCAACTTTGTAATGATTGTTACATAGTTAAATATATTTATGATCATAACCAGTGATGACTATTTCTTTTTTTTTTTAATATTTTTTGCTGTTTATATAAAAATAAAATAATAAAATTAAAATGAAACTTTTACATTACACAAAGAATATATATAAAGCAGACAGGAGCTCAAAGAAGATAAGGATGAGTGATGTCACCACAATCATTTCATAGAGCCCCTTTACAATATCATTTAAAGCCCTCTTAGCTTTAGAAAATTTACAACAAATATTTTATCTGTTAAATACTACGTGAAGAGTATAGAAAAACTCATATATACATATATACACATATATACATATACCC